CCCCCCAGCAGTCGGAAACCGCCGCGCGTCCGTCGCGATTCTCCCCTCCCTTGACGCTAGAGGACTTTGCCCGCTGGCGTCACGCTCGCGTTAAGATGTCACCGGCTTCCCCTTTGCCCTCAGAGCGAAAACGCCCCAGGTCTCCCCAGCGCTTGCCTCAGAGCTGTTCCTTCCCCCTCAGGTTGCTATAAGATCACCACAGTATTCAGCCACGCTCAGACTGTCGTCCTGTGCGTGGGCTGCTCCACTGTGCTGTGCCAGCCCACTGGAGGAAAGGCAAGGCTTACAGAAGGTAGGTAACGACGGCAAGTTATTTTGGTAGTGCTGCCTACCTGTACTTAGTCTTATGCACTGATGTAAGCTTCACCATCCATGATACTCTAAGCATAGGTAGTTCTTGGCTCAGTCCTGGATTGCCAGCGAACTGCGATTTAATAAAGGAAGCAGTTCCCTCTGACAGTTGGAAGCCAGCTGATCTGCTCTTTGAGACTAGGTGAAAAAGACACATGCTCCAAAATTCAAGTCTGATCAGCTATCCTGGGGATGTCCGAGTGCCATTGCTATATATGTTGTGATAAGACAGTTTGCAAAAGATCTCTATTGAGTTTCTTGTAGCCCTGATGAACCTGGTGCAGATTTTGGAGACGGGGTACTTCTGGACTAGAAGATTTCACAAAAGCCACTCAATTGCTGGCAAATGCTCTCTTGCTTTCTGTGCTTGTCTTCTGTGGGTTTTACACTTGGCGTTGTAGTACTGGGATGCTTTGCTTACCTGCTTGGTTGAAACAAGGCAAAAGCATAGGCTGATATATATGGGCTGATGAGATGGGGAAGTTTCTGTACAGAATGGCCTTCAGAGAGGCATTACATGCTGCATAATTGATGCTGTAATAGTAAAATGTTTTTGATAGATGGTGACATGCTGGCTGAGTTACTTACTGCTCTACGATTTTTTTTTTTTCTTTACCTAGGATGCTCCTTCAGACGGAAGCAGCATTAAACTAATGGAGTCTGAGATGGTTGGGACTACTTGCACAGATGGCTGCACAGATGGCGAGCATGGGATTTGGTTCAGGTGTGACCTGAATGCTTTAGTTAGGTGTCCTTGGAATGCAAACCAGGAATGTGAATTTCATACTGTCCCTGTAGCCCCACTCATCTCACCGTGAATAAATTTTGGATAAAATACAAGCATGTTAGTTTGCTTTTGATGTACTTGCCCTCTGAGTCGTCTGGCCTGCGGGGAGAAAAAAAACCTAGTTTGTCAGTAATTCTGAAAAATCAAATTTTCAGAATGGCAAGTAGCTACAGTGTGTGTTGTACTGGGTCAGCTGCAAAAGTAAGTGTGCATCCTGTGAGCCTACCATTAATACTTAACTAAGCTGTTCTGATCTTCCCTGTATAGTTAAATGATGAGACATTTTAGGTACTCTACCCCTGGTAATCTGCTGACCTGAAACTCAAAGGTTAACTAAACACTTCCTTTTATTTGGGTCAAAACTGTTGGGACCTGTTGCACTGCAGGGCCTCCCATTGTTCAGCTCTTCAGTTGTAAAAGTTTATCGCTGTACGCTCCAGAGCCACAACTGAGTCCTGTTTCTTCCATGTGGGGAACTCGTAGGAGAATAGGAATATCCTGAAAACAAAGGAAATAAAGGGAGGCTGGTTTGAATATACACATATTCCTAATTCTTCACAGGGGAAAGTACATTCTGTAAACCCCTTGGAGTCCCGCACTTGATGTTTGTTGGAACTGCATTCAAATTAATCTCCCCACCTGATGGATTGAGGGGAGAGTTTGCACAGTGGTAGTTTTTTTTTTTTAAAAAACAAAGTAATGAACTCAGAGTTGCACTGCTCAATGAATGCTGAACTGCTGCATAACAGCAGTGGCTTTCACTGGCTGAGAATACTAGTATTCGCATGTACACAATGTGACAAAACTGGAAACTGCCCAAGCAGTTCCAAAAAAGCTTACCTGTCTGAGATGCAGCAGAAGTAGGAATGTACACAATAGGCACTGTTTGCACTCTGGTCAGAAAAGCATTGTATGCTGACAAAATAACAACTTGGTTAGATTAGGGAGCTCCTTTAAGATATGTGCAAGAATCAGTAGTTTGAACTTTAGGTTTTAACTTCTGGACCTTTTCTCTGAAGTTATCTTAAACTCTTATTCATTCTAGTTCTGGAGAATGTTGGGCTGTTTTGATGGTGGCATCCATCCCTCCACTTTGCTGGAACAGCTGCTGAGGGCTGCCTAGTAAAACTACTTTTGCAAGTGGCCCAGATCCTACCTCGGACTCCTGCTGCAGCTCAGCCACATGTGGTTTTATGAACAGCCGTAACAATGTAGGAGCTGCCACTGCCACCTGATGATACTCGGGCTGCATTCTTGTTTGTCAAACTCAACAGGAATACAGACTGCCTTGCAGTTAGACAACCTTTCAGCTTTTTTTTTTTCTCCTCAATTCCAGTAGCTGATTTACTAGAATATCTTCCTCGATCCTCTTGAATTCTTAAAATCTACAGCTACCTTCAACTACAGTGATAGTGTCGCATTTGGAAGGTTTCCTTTGTTGTTACCCCCTTTCTGAATTTCAGGTCAACTAATAGCTAAAGGGATGACTCCTTCATGCTTAAGAAAAATCAAAACCATTGCTGTTAGGTCAAGTCTTTCCAGGTTAGATCTTTTCCGAGAATGTCATCATTTTTTTTAAAGCTCAAAAAGAATACAGCAATGTGAAAAGCAGAGATGCATAGTTGTCTTTAAAGATTACAAAGGCAAGAATATGTATTTCTACTTTCTGTGAGCTTCGATTGTTAAACTGTAAATCTCTTCTTTCACTTACTGAGGAAGATGACAGCTGTTGATGCTAAAACAGCGAAGAGAGTGAAAAGAAGAATCTGGTAAGAGCTCATTAGCTGTTGAACAATTCCTACGTCACTGCATTGACCTAAGATTTAAAGGACAGGGTAAATATTGCATACTGGTAGGTTCCAGATGTTTGTAACAACATCAAAGAAAAAGTTTCCTTTAACTGCCTGTTAAGGGCAGTTGGTGCCAAGGGATGTTTGATGCCCTTTGCAGCCAGGGAATGGAAGACATGAATACAGTCTCATTTTATTTTGGAAGGAGCAGTAAGTCTTTTGACAAATCTGAATCTTGTAAATAGCACAGGGCTTCGATACCATTATTGCATCACATTAGGTATATGAAACCCACTGGGGAAACTTACCAAAGGTAAGCTGCCCTGGGAGAACTCTCACTTCTACTGCTACTCTCTGGCCTGTGAGAGCACAAGAAATGTTGATGAAGGCTGGTGCTGGCATCTGCTGGAGGGAGGTGAAGTTGACCACGCTGACAGGGTAGGAGACAAGTCCAGGCATGCTGGGGGAATATTCAGGATACCTCACTATTATAGCAGGGGAACTGGGCTGAACCTTTCAGGACAGACAAAAACCAATGCTTTAAAAGGAAAAGCAGTAATACCTCTAATTCAGTATTACTATGTACACAGATAGTACATATAATCATGAAACAGTGAAACAAGTTATTATGAAAGAAGATTTCTGTAAGGTTGCCTTGTCTTTACGCGTTTTCTGTAAGGATGGAGGAAAAATGCAGAAGCACACTCAGAACCCACTGCTTTCAAACATGGACACTATTATATGCTCTGTTCCCTAGTAATTTTTTTTTTTTCCAGAGATCCAAAAAACTGATTGCTGAGACAGAGCTAAGTGTATACAAGACAGGATTCTCTCTACCACTGCCTTCTGACAAGTAGGTATTTCCATTCCCAGGGATATGGGCAGAGAGAAAGCTTTTCACGTACCTCCAGCTTTTCTAATACTTTTTCTGCTCCCAGCACTCTTAGCATGCCATTTAGTTGTTTGAGACTAAAAACTAATTCTGACTGGTTGACATAAAATGCAGGGAGGAAAGGAACGACGATTCTTTGCATTTCACCCGTGCTCTGCTCACTGGAGAGAGAGACCATCACTAACACAGAGGCATCCGCAAAACTCAGAGCCAGGAGGACTTCATCAGGCTGTGGCTTAGCAGTGATTACACAGACATAAAGACCTAAATTCAAGACAGTGAAAAACCAGCGTAAACAGAGAGCTTGTGTTTGAAAGGTTCTTACAAGAGTTATTTGAGGTGGAAGGCAGGAAAGATGCATGATTGAAAGGGGTAATTCATACATTCTTAGCATCAGTAAATCGGCATTAAAAGTGTCTGAGAATTTGGCACTGTTACCTTACAGTCTAATAGTGAAATAAACAAAATCATCAGAGGGAAAAACAAAACATGAAAACTGCCTGTATTCCATTCAGATTTGAAAGGTCATACCTACCTTTTTGGATGCTAAATTCTGATTGCACAAGGAAGACTTCACTTGCTGATACATCCAACATGGCGTTGCTGAATTCAATTTGACACATCAAGCAAGACTCTGGGAGAAGGAGATTTGTGATTGCGCTGAACTGAATAGAGTTGCAAGGGCCTAAAAGAGAAAAACAAACAAATGAATCGGCATCTTTCAGTGGCTAACTCTTCAACAAAATAAGGTGAAATCTTCCCTAATGCACAAAGTGGTTCAGTTGCCAGCCTGTAATTGTCGCTCATGTTTCCTCATCAGAAGCTTACTTCCCAACTGTAGTCCATGGCTTTGTATTTACTGGGGCTGGGTTACAGTTCACATAACTTAGTGTTCAAAAGGCTCAAATTACACTTTCTTAATAAACTAGAAGGTGACTGTAATATGAATTGCAATTCAGTTTCTCATTTAGGCACTAGTGCAGAATAAGAACGTTTTTAGGTGCACAGTATAAACTTCACTGCAGAAAAGTTCAGCATGAATCAAGAAAGAGGAATTTACAAATACAGGTCCTACCTTTGAGGGTTTCTCTTCCACTGCTTGTGGCAACAAGAACTTGGAATGCAGAAGAACCTGGAGTATTGGTTAAATAGTTTTTTTGACCAATCTGGAGACTTAATCTTGAAGAACCATCGACAATTATCTGAAATATTAGTAAGAACAGAATTCTGTGTCCAAAACACCGATTGATTCAAATAGACAGTAGGGAGTTTTCCTGCTTAGTTTTTCTTCTGCTATTCTACAGAACTTGCTTAACTGGATAATTATTAAAGATCAGTCTTATTTATAGGAGTGAGCGCACGGAAAAGCATCCTTAATAAAAATGAGAACTAAGCCCTTACTGTATTGTTTTTAACTGGCCCTTTACTTGGAGATTATTTTTCCACATCTGGGAACAGAACTGAGGTGCATAAGCAGTCATGCATCATGTTACGGTAAAGGCGCTATAGTCTTTTGCAGTAACAATTTCAATCACTATGCTAACAATGTCTACCGAAATGCGTAACAGACATTCCTATAAGCAATGGAGTCAGAGGGAAAAGCTGACTCATTCTTTTGGTGTAGAACACAACATAAACATATATAAAAACAATTCTTGGTTTACAGTAGCAAGCTGGTCTTCTCCCACAGTAGTGTGACAAATACCTCTCTATGCGTTTTCACTATCCCTGGGATATCATAGAAGATTGTAGCTGTTCCAGTACTCTTCACAAATGCTGCTCCGCTCACAGTGTCTATTTCAAGCATATCACTGGGGGAAATATGCCACATCCCAGATTCACCTAGAAATAATCAAGTTACAAGCTAGATTTTGCCAAGTGGTCTCTACTGGAGAGGATTAGAGACCGTGGCGGGCTCTCTAATGAAAAGGAAATAAACATCCACATATCTCTTTCAGGCATGTGTAAGGAGTTCATATAGTAAGCTGAAATTCACAGGTCTTCTCCTTTTAGACCTCTTAGAATGAATCTTTTAAAATATTCGCGTTACATGAGTGAACCCCCTCCCCACATTTCCTGGTGAAATACACTAAACTACTGTCTGCTTATTCTCCAGGACAGAGAATTTGTAAATCAGATTTACTTGAATAAATCAGGACCATAAACTCAAAGGTTAATTGTGGGGTTGAGTGAGTAAAAAGAATGCTCAGCTGAGCTTTCACAGAATGGGAGAAAGGTTTTTTTTTTTTTTTTTTTTACATTCCTTGGGAGACTCCCTGGTTACCTTTTATTTAAAAAATGCTATCAAAGACTTAATTTACCATGTAGTTCTGATTAGATAGTAATAAAACTGTAGGAGGACTGTCACTCC